GCTTGCTTGTGCTAATAATTAACGGAAGTAGCTGTCTCATGACAAAGGTGTTAATTAATTCTGTTATTATTATTATTATATTTTTTTTTTTACTTAAATTGATTGTTTTATTAATGTTGTCATGAGCGACACGAAGTGGGACTATTTATATAGAGCTTAACTAGCTTTGGTTTATAATTTAAGTTAACACGAAAACAAATTTCATGCTAGTTGTTAAAAGAAATTTATATAGTGTTAAAAGCTGTTTAGTTTATATATACATTTCTTTTTTCAAATATAAAATACTAAAGTTTTGGTATTAAATCATTTAAATATAAATATATGTACATATATATTTTCTTATATGTATTTTCGGTTTTATTTCACATACATTTATATGCATTTTCTTTTTTATTTCCATACAGAATTCAAATTTCTTTACGATTTTGTTTTTTCCAGAATTTAACAGCCGACAGTATTTGGTATCATAATAATCCATAGTGGGGCTCTAAGGGAACTGCTCCTTTATCATTCAAATTCTTTATAAGCTAACGTTTTTTACGTCTTGACAGCGACTTGACGAAAATGTAAACAAAATGGGTTGAGTTTATTTAACAATATCTACCAATTTAGGAAATTCTCATAGTGTGAACACTTGAACAAAGTTCGAAAACTTTTCAACTTGCCGAACTGGTTTGAACCGGGTACTTCAAATATATTAAACTGAATCAAAACTGAGGCTTCTGAGTAGCTAGAAATGTTGAATAATTAGCAATTATTTTGAAGAACATTTAAAATAGAAGATTGGTAATATTTGTATTAAGTATTCTTCATTATTAAAAAAAAAAAAATTTATTCAAATTTATAGCCTCTAGTCATGCCATTGTTTAATACCAATATTATTCTGTTGCGGCTTTGGTTCAACTGTTTATTCTCCAACTAAGTTTGATTGGATAGATAAACTAAGCTGGAAGAACAGGTGCGAGCTGTCTCAAATATATTTGCAGAATCAAAGTGCTCTTAAGTAGCTGCCATTCTTATCTTAGCTGAGACAACACTGTGATTTAAGCCACAAACACCTATTTATGGTAGTTCAAAAAACTTAAATAAAAATATTGCAGGAAAAACAATATTTACTAAAGCGAATTTTGTTTCATTTTCGTTGTTTGCTTTATGCGCTGGCGGATCAACTAAAAAGCTGGCCCAGTTTTCCAGCTAAATGACGATGAGCGTAATAATGATGTTGTTGTTGATGATGATGATGATGATGATTTTATATGCAAATGCGTCAACACTTAAGCAGAGGAGTTGTCAGTCGCTTTGTGCTCCCCCCTTGGGCTTAACTGTCCGTCGCACATGGCAGACGCCACAAACACACACACACACACACACACCCACACCCACATATACACACAGAGGCAGTCCACTGTACATATAGAAATACATATTAATGGCTTCGCTTGTCTGATGTTTGCTTTACTTCTTTTTGTATTTATTTATTTTATGTACTCGCATTTTGTATTTGTCTTTTATCAGCCTGCTTCCATATGGCGCACGGGTCGAGGCGGCGGGGGCAAATATATCTTTGAGTAATTGAAAGCCGCACTCATCCAAATGAGCTGCTAATACGTTCATCAATATTTGAATGCATTCGAATACACTCACACTTGACATGGCTTAAGAGAATTGAAACATTATTTTCGCAGTGTATTCAATATTCGCAATCATCTTTTTGTTTTTATTTATTTCTATCTAATTCTCTGCACATTTTTTCTGTTGCTTTGTTCTCTTCTGTTTGTGTCTAGCATTTGGGTCTCTGTTTGCATAAAACTGACGGCTCTATGGCCCATTACTTTCCATCCAGCTGGACAATGCACAGATCCGGTACCTGGACATGCATAGTGGCTTNTAATCCTTATTTAAAAATTATGTATTTCTATTATTTTTTAAATAATTTTGTATTTATATTTGTATCTATTTAAAAAAAATATATTTTATATTTTTGGTGTATTTAGTTTTTCGTGTTATTTTATTAAATATATACACATATATTAGAAGTGATTGCCAAAATCCAGGGTATTTCGCACCCATATACTACTTCGTTCTCCACTTCGTTGACAATAGCAGTCAGCTCAGCGCTAACAAATATCGTTTTGTATTTTGATTGTAAATATTGCTGTGCTGCGCCATTTGTGACGTCATTGATACACACAACTACATATTTGCCTGTGAAACAGCCCTTCGTCAATATCAATGAATGGTCGAGAGTTTAGCGTGTGGCGCCAACTAAATTGCTGTAATGGCTCTCACACATTTCAATAATTGAAAGTCTATTGAATGAAATAGTTAAAAAAAATAAATAAAGAAACATAAAATTGAGCTTAAGTTAACCGAAAATCTGTAAAAGTAAATGTCGTTGCCAATGCGCTAACAACTCAATCACACTTACCCTGATAAGGTTTATCAATAGACTTCTTCTGTGTAAAGTCCAGCTGCATGAATAATAAATAAGCAAAGTACGACCAAGCAGCTGATAAAGAGTTCACATAGTATATGATATGCTTAAGTTTGTTAATTCGCTTAGCTAACAGCTAAATGTTAAGAATACAGCACCCACATAACAGCGCCCTGTTAACGCAGGAGTTAACAGTCTGCCAATTGGCATCCAATTTGATTTTGTTAATTGAATTGGTAAAGTCATTTGCGTTTGAGGTTTTCCAAACCAAAAAAGTTATATTTTTATTTATTTCAAAAATTAATCATAAATCAGTTTCATATTTAAAACCCATAAAAATGAAGCTCGCATAATACCATAACATAAATATAATAGCCATAATATTTGATGAGCCAATAAAAAAAATACATATTTTAAAAAGTTATATGTAGTTGACTTTTTTCAGTGTGTGTTTAATATATATATAAGTATATATATTTATAGTATGTCGGACACATAACACACATATTTGTAGCTATTTATAATTTTTAATAAATGTTTTAAATAAATTTTGTATATAAGTATGTATAAGTATGCATGTATATCGTAGTATGTATATATATACTATATATGTATATATTTTAAATGTTTTTTATTTTTGTTCTCCCAATTTGTATTCTTTCAGTGTTTTCAATAAAACAGTCAGACAATTTTTTATTAAAATAAATTAACACGCCGCCTTCTTAAATCGGCATAGAATATTTTTAATATTTTATGCGCTGAGCCACTTAAAATGTTTTGACAAATAGTTTTCATAATTGTATACATATATTTCGATTATAATATATATGTATATATATATATTTATATTTTGGTAATATAATTGTTAGTAGATATTTCAAATASTTTGTTTGTTTTGTTGCATAAAAGTGTGTTACTTTTCGCGCAGTGTAAATAGTTTTGAGTGTAGTACGGTGAAATGGCGCCTCCTTGTATAAAACATTTAAAGCAAATTGACAGACAATCTGTTGTTACTGAGCTCATTTAAAGTAATTACCGTTAAGTATCTATAGATTGTATTCTTCATAAATTTTTTCATTTTTGTTTTGTTTTTGGTTTTTTTTTTTTTTTTTTTTGTACTACTTGGGAAGCCTCTAGTTTTGATATTACACAATTGGATACTGATAGTGTTGGCGGTTCTTTGGTTTTTATTTTGTTCTTTGGAATTCAAAGACCTCGACCATAGACATAGACATTGATTAAGTGTGGTTAGGTTTAGTTTAGTTTAGGTTAAGTTCGATTGGGCTTTGGTAAGTTCGCAGTTGTCAACCCTGTCGGTGTCAGTGTTTTAAAAACATTGATTTTGATTATGTTGATGTTCTTCGACATACAATATTCATATATTTATATGCACAGATATAATAATATTATATATATATATATTTTAGTTGTTGTTTCAAAATTCGAATTCTATATAGAAATTGCACGTTGACTCATTTTTAACTTAAGGTATCTTTTGGTTTAAAATATTATGTATTTTATGTTCTCTCATTTCGCAAACTAAGGTAAAGGTCAAAAGATTGGAGTTTCTTCTATTTATGTTTGTTTTCTGTAAATTTGGTTACCAATAAATGTGGAAAGCTCAGCTTAAAAGCTTTTATTTTCTGTCTCATTCTCTGCTCTATCTATCTTTCTCTACCATGCTCTGTTATTTTAGTAGAACTTCTCGCCATAGTAGCTGGGTCCACGCTCACCTACCGGTTCGTTCAAGAACTGGTTCTGGTTAATGGAACGCTTCTTCTTGGACACCATGAAACGCTTTGCGGATCCCAGACCTGGAATAATTGTTTTAGCCATGTAGCAATTAATTTGAATTTAGTTGCAGTGTTGCTTCCACTTACGACCATTGCTGCCCAGGTATTTCTGTGGGCGTGGCATATATTCATACTTTGGCACCACCTGCGCCTCCACGGGCATGCCATAGTAGTCGACGAGAGCTGGTGCCTGCTGCTGTTGTTGCTGTTGTATGGGTGCATCCAACCAGCTGCCAGCTGCCGGCACATAGTCAAGTTCCTCAGCATCCACCAATGGTACCGAGATGCCACTCTCCATGTCGCTCTCCTTGCGCGCACGCTCACCGGCTTCAACGAGTGCAACAAGAGCCAACATATCAGCAGGTGTCAGCTTGGTAGTGTCACGTTTTAGGCTGAGGAGGAGATAATATATATAGTATATATAATTATTTTTTATACCCTGAAC